GGGGGACCATCCAGAGGGCTTTCCTTCCAGCTCCTGCTCTGTAGTTTGGTTTTTACTTGCAGTACATGATAAAAACTATCCCATGTGTGTTGGCAGGTAAGATGTGCAAACACACGATTCTTCTCTGGCTTTGCAAGTTTTTGCTGTAGGTGGTAAAGACAGGCATTAAGTACTTTTCACTAACAGGTTTTGACAGTGATTCAAGATTGTTTCATTTATGTAGTGTGTTATACATTAAAATTCATTTTATTGTATAAGCAGTATGTTATGTATTAAAATTCAGTAAGAGTCTATAAGTGCATGAATAAACACAATGTGGCACATCAACACAATGGAGTATTTGACCATACAAAGAATGAAATGGGATACATGCTACAGTATACATGGACCTTGAAAACATTAAGCAGAGGGAAAGATGGCAGATACCAAAAATCCATGAATTCTGTGATTCCATTTGTATGAGAGGCCCAGAATGGGCAAATCTCTAGAGGCAGAAAGTAGACTTAGTGATTGCCTGGGGCTGGGGAGAGGGAGGAACGGATGGCTGCTCTAGCTTTTTGGGGGGATGATTGGTCAGACGTTCTGGAATTAGTGGTGATTAAAATCACACAGAAGCCCTGTGTGGTGGTGCATGCCTGTGATCCCAGCACTCAGGAGGCTGAGGCAGGAAGATCGTAGCAAGTTTGAGATCATTCTGAGCTACAAAGTGAGCTCAAGCCCAGTTTGAACTGCATAGTGAGACCTGGTCTCAAAAAGATAGATAGATAGATAGATAGATAGATAGATAGATAGATAGATAGATAGACAGACAGACAGACAGATATCACACAGAAAATGCATGCATTACTGAAGACTCTAATAGTTTATGGCTTATTTTCATGGAGAAAATGACCCGTAGGTGGGGACACTGACGTTTTGCTCCATGCCATGTTGTGGCCCTGATCTGTCCAGGAGGGGTGGCATCTTCGCCCTGGACTTTGGGTGTCTTCTGGACTCTGACCCGCACACTCAAGTCCCATCAGAAGCCTCATCCTGAATGCAATGTGATGTGTGGGGAGAGGCTTTTTCTTTTAGGATGTGGACTGTTAAAGTGCTGATAAATCTAACTCTTAACTTGCCACCAACAATGTCTCAAGTGTGAACTTTATTGAAGCACTGTAGATTATTAGAAGTTTTATGAAAATTTTTAGTTATAAAAAGTGTCCTCTGGGCCAGGGAGATGGTTCAGTGGAATAAGCGCTTCCCTGGCAAGTGCAAGGGCCTGAGTTCAATTCCTGGTTCCACCAAAAAAAAAAAAAAAAA